GCTGCACTTCCGGAGGGGTTTCTTTCCATTAAATCACTATGCAGCTTCTTCACTTTTTCACAGATAATGGCTTCACTGATGCTTTCCCCTTTCAGCTGTTTCTCATTCATCCACATCAGTAAAAGTTTTTCCACTTCTATCAGGGGTGACCTGTGCTTTGTTAGGATTGAGAGTCCTTTTGCCACATCAATGTCTTTCAAGACATCTTTCTTCTTTAATATGGTGCAGATGGTTGACTTTGCCATCTTGTATTCGGCTGCCAGTTCAGTCACATGCATGCCATCTTCATGCTTTTTTATGATGTCCTTTTTTGTTTCAATGGATATGATATTCTTCTTGCCTTTGCTCTGTTCTTTCTTTGGAGCCATGAGTACTGTTCAGCACACCAAAGTACACAAACCCTAGGAGCCACAGAATCCAGCAACCATTATTCCAGTAAACAGAACCCCTCAGCACAAAAAGAGAGCAGAGAGAGAGAGAGAGAGAGAGAGAAGGCAGTGGGGGGGAGAGACTTGAGTCTAAACTGCATTTTACAGCCTACCTGCATCAATAACCAGCAACTATTATTCCAGCAAACAGACCCCCCTCAGCACAAAAAGAGAGCACAGAGAGAGAGAGAGAGAGAGAGAGAAGACAATTGGGGGGGCGGGGGGGGAACTTGAGTCTAAACTGCATTTTTGAGCAAACCAACCAGCACAGCCCCTCACAGAATATTTTTTGATTTTAAGAAAAAAAAACTTTGGAGTCTAAACTCCATTTTACAGCCTGCCTCCATCAACAGCCAGGACAGCCACTCACAGAATATTTTCTGATTTTAAAACAGACAGACTTTGGAGCCACATTTTAAACCCACACATTTTAAAACAAAAGAGAGGTCACAGTACACAAACCCTAGAAGCCACAGAATGCAAAAATAAATAAATAAATTTTACATTTTAAAATTACTGTGCCATCTAAATTTCACATTTAATTTTAATTTAATATTACAGTCTAAATTTCACATTTTAAATCCACACTGCAAGATCCATCAGAGCACAGAAACATAACCCCCACCTAGCCCTACCCCCCAAGCTGCAAAAAAAAAAGCCTGGACTGCACAGTGTACTCACCCAGAACAGGCAGTCTCTCTGTTTTAAAAAAGAAAGTCAAAAATCAATTTTGAAAAAAAAGCCAAAAAATTACAGTCTGTACAGTACAGTACCAGGCAGTATAGTCCCAGGCAATACCAGGCAGTAGCAGGCAGTCCAAAGTCTCTCTCCATATCCACTCACTTGACCGCTGGGACACGCGAGGTAGCAGACAAGCAGCCTCTTCTCTGGCCAACGATTAACTGAAAGTTCAAATTTTGCACTTTCCTCACTCCCCGTGTTGTTGGGGTTTTTTTTTCATTCATAAGGCGAAGCTCTGTTCGCAAGTCAAAGCAAAATTTTGCGAACAGGGCTGTTTTTAAGTCAAAATGTTCATAAGTGGGGACGTTTATAAGTCGAGCACCACTTCTTCTAGAAAAAAAGAGCCAGAACAAATAACCATTGATGCTGCTTGCTTTCATACTTGCCTTACTTTATTTTTAATAAGTAGCTGAAGGCATTACAGTACCTCCAGCTAGGCACTGCAGAAACAGGCATGGCTTGTTCTTACTTGCCTCTGGTAGGTGAGAGCCTTTATACACACACCCAGGTGAGCACAGTAAAAGAACAGGACACTTTCTGGATTCCTCTGAAAAGCAGACTGTGGCACTTGTTGTTTACATGCAGTTACTCATGATATATTAAGGGCTATAATTAATCACGGGACTTTTCCATGTACATCCATTTCTGTTTCCAATTAGTGATGTAGTCACATAAATAAAATAATAGCATATAGCAATTTCAAAGACATAGAATGCTTTATATCCACAGTCTTCTTGCTGTCCATACAATAACCATGTAAGGTAAGTCAATATCTCCAGTTTGTACTTTGAGGTCTTAGGCTAAGCAAAAGTGGCTTGTCTAAGAACATCTAATAATTTTTTGTTAGAAGCAGAATTCAAACCAGGGACTTTCTGATTTGTAGTTTTATTTGTTAGCCACTGGGGTTTTTTTATTCATGTTAATAGATCCCAGGTAAATGTGAATAATCTCATTCGAAAACAAATGAGTTCCATGAAGCAGTTATTTTGTGGTATCTTTTTTTGTCTCACAGTCTCCCAAGCAAGGCCACCTCCAAATCAGAAAAAAGGTGAGTTGCTACAAATTTTATAGGCCCTTCATAGAACTATAAAGTTCATATCTTACATAGCAAATTCCAGTTGTGGATGCGTAATTAGTTTTGGCTTTTCGGGGGAGGTCAATAAGGCAAAGGATAATGATAATTGCAATTTGTTGAATTGTATCTGCTACTTAAATTTTAAAAATCTCTCTGCAGGATCTCGAACACCCATAATCATTATTCCAGCAGCCACAACCTCGTTAATAACTATGCTTAATGCAAAAGATCTTCTGCAGGATCTGAAGTAAGTAACTGATTAAAATACAGTTCATGAAAGATTGACTTCAATAAAGAGATGTAGCTGAAGTGGTTGATTTATTCTTGAAACAGTCCATGTTCTTTTGTGACAACTGGATTTGAAATTTTTTTAATGAAAATTGGAAATAGTGTAATCTAGTTAGGAAGAAAAAAAAACACCGAAGTGATTTTGTGCTTTATAAGAACTTGTTTATTCATATATTTAAACTATTTATCCCACTTTTCTCCTTAAAAGGAACCAAGGTGGATTACATCATTAAAAGGACAATATATGAAAGCTTAAAACAATAAGTACACAAGTATTATATTAAAGACAGTAAATAAAATCAATACTAAAAACATTTAAAGCAACAGAGCACATCGATCCTGTTTGAAAAACCCTGTTACTCCAGATGTCACAAATTGAATTCTTAAAAAACATCAATTTTATGAATGTGAGATATTGTGCTTATTGCCCATGTTCGAAACATTCCATGGCTTCTGCATGGGTTGCTTTCAGGCAGTACTGAGCAAAATATATGCAAATATATAAGATTTTATATATAGAATATATAAAATTCAGTTGTATGGTTTATGATTGGCTTGTGTCTTTAACATTATTGTAAACTGGCCATGACAGTGGCTTTTCATTGGATGGGAGGTATAAAAATAAATAAATAAAATTGCATTTTTAAGAAGATGCCACTGAAATTTCTTAAAAGTAAAGGAATTTCAGCAGTCCAAATACAAAATTATGACTTTTGAAGTGGACTTCAGATCAGCATCAGTTGTGGCAGACTGTCTTTTGCTCAATGCCAAATTTCGGAAAGTTTGGGCAAAAAAGTTTTTAGAGTATACAGTATTGCCTTGACTTACAAACGTCTTGACATACGACCGTTTCGAGTTACAACCAGCTCCGGCCACAAAATTTTACTTCTACTTGTGACCGGAGCTTCGAGTTACAACCAGAAAAAAGGCAGGGGGAAAAGGGCAGGGAATTCAAATTGCTAACCGTTGGTGGCGAAGAGGCTGCTTCTTTGTAGCTCTTTCACCCCAGCAGTTAGAGAGTGTGCAGTTGGAGGCGTCAGACTGCCTGGTAAGGTAAGGTGCTGCTTTCTACTTTTTAAAAACTGTTCTGGGTGGGTTTTGTAGCATGGTTTTGGGCTGGGTGGTGGGATTATGTTTCTATGCTGTGATGGGTCTTCTAGGTTTGTTTGCTTTTTGAGGGGGGTTCCCATTTCCAATGGTCTTGCATGATTTGTTTGTTTATTTTGTTTGTTTGTTGTTGTTGCCATTTCCAATGGTCTTGCATGATTTGTTTATTTTGTTTGTTTGTTGTTGTTTTTTGCATTTCTGAAGGGTCTTGCACGGTTTGTATGCTTTTCTCCCCCCCCCCTTCAGCCAGACTAGATTATTCATGTTTCCGAAGGGTCTTGCATGGTTTTTATGCTTTTCTTTCCCCACCCCCTTCGGCCAGAACAGATCAATCGCATTTCCGAAGCATCTTGCACTGTTTTTTCTTTTGTTTTTTTTTTTTTTTTTTTTTTTTTTTTTTTTTTTTTTGCATTTCCAAAGGGTCTTGCACAGTTTATTTCTTTTTTGCTTTTCTTTTTCTTTTTTGCATTTCCAAAGGGTCTTGCACGGTTTGTTTGCTTTTCTTTCTTTCTTTTTCCTTCTGCCAGAATGAATTAATTGTGTTTCCAGTGGGTCTTGCAGTATTTTTTGGGGGGGTGGGGGTTGATTTTTTTCTTCGGCCGGAACATTTCCTATAGGAAATGATGCTCTGATTTACGACCATTTCAAGTTACGACCGGAGTTCCGGAACCAATTAAGTTTGTAAGCCAAGGCACCACTGTACAGTCATGTGGGGGGAAAAAGTACACCCTCTTTGAATTCTATGGTTTTATGTATCAGGACATAATAAAAATCATCTGGTCCTTGGCAGGTCTGAAAATTAGGTAAATACAACCTCAAATGAACAACAAGACATAACTTATTATAACATGTCATTATTTATTAAACAGAAACAAAGCCAAAATGAGGGTGTACTTTCTATTTCACATGACTGCAATTTTTTAAAGTAAAACACTCCACTCTGAAATAGTCAACCCCCAAACTATCCCAGATTTTTAAAAACTCACTTAAATTGAAAATACCAATTGTGCTTATCTTGAAAGAGATTGTTGTCCCCACTTCTTTATTTGGAAAGAATCCAGACTATTGGGGCTGAAATACTAGATCTCAAAAAGAAAAAGGACTTTCAAATGTGAGATGACATAACAGTCTTGAGAATTGCTTTGTGTTTAGGTGAAAAGTGGTGAACGAATGTCAAGGAGTCATAGTGTGGAACTGAACTCCCTACCGCTGGTTCTGCAACTAGATACCTAAACCACTGAGCTATCCAACAGTTCATTTCACATTAGTAAACTGGAAGTTTTTTTTAATAATTGAATCTTTTTTATTTTTATTACAGGAGCCTAGTTTTATTTGCAACATATATGCCTTTTCCCTGAAACTAATATAAACCTTAATGTTAAACCTAAATAAATAAATAAATAAATAAATAAATAAATAAATAAATAAATAAATAAATAAATAAATAAATAAATAGTAATAAGACTACTTGTATATATAGGCAAATAGAACTTAATTTGATTGGGAGCTGAATAGAATATTAAATACTTGGTGATTAAAAGGTTATAGACATAACTATCAGTTTACCGTATTTTTCCATGTTTAAAATTCTACTTTTTCCTAAAATCATTACACTAAAAATTAAGGGGTGTCTTTTACATGGAAGTAAGCTGAGATAGATGAGAAGAGAACAAAATGGCACATACCTGCGTCTGTAAACAGGCTTCCTTCAGTTTCAAGTCAGGAGACTTAGCTTCCTCCAATCACAAACCTTATGGAACTGACATCAATTGATGCTGAACAAACCAATTGGAACACACATCTTTGGAGGTGGAGTCTGTAGGCTCAGATTCAACAGGGACTCATTTTTCTAATCAAGATTTCCTCTTACTTAGAATTGTTATTTTCCTTGCCACTGTAAATATCTGTACCTTCCCCAAAATTGAATTTCAAATCTCAACAGATTTTGCATGAAGGGTTGAAATGCAGGCAATCACTTGAACTGTTGTAACTACTATGACTTCTGTGGACAATAATGAATTCAAATATATCTAAAGTAAATAATGCATATTTATCAGCAGAGACATTTTCTTTCTCAGAAAGACACAGTAGTTAATACAAGCCACCCTGAAAACTTTCAGCCAGTAAGGTTCCTAGGATTAGTCTTCTGGGTATGTCCTGCTGTAGAACTATAACAACTTCATTATCTTATAAGCCAGAAATTGGAAGCAGTGTCCTGTCAAAAAATTTTGTGATGTAAACTTTTGCAGGCCACATCACACATCCATACACTCCATCTAGATCTGGGCCACGGAAGATAATGTTGCAATAAATGTTAGTCCTTTTAAAGCAAAAGCAAAAAGCAAAGTGTGCTGCTTATATACCGCCCCATAGTGCTTCAAGCACTCTCTAGGCGGTTTACAAGTTAATTATGCAGGCTACACATTGCCCCTCCCCCAGCGAGCTGGGTACTCATTTTACCGACCTTGGAAGGATAGAAGGCTGAGTCAGCCTTGAGACGCTACCTGGGATTGAACCCCAGGTCGTACCTTATGAGACATCTTTGCTTGGGCTTAAAAAGACAAATGCTGCTACCTATCTGGGATTTATTTCTAGTTACATAGTTTTTAATGTAAACATCTGTTTAAATGATATATTTCTCTTCCTTTGTAGTGGTCTGGGGATTTTCTGAAGTGGTTTGATCAGTTTATAAGCCGTATTAGCTTTTATTTATTGTTCAATGCTTCATTGTGATCCTGTCCAATTTTTGATTAATCTCTAAACTGTGTAATGCATGTTTTTACTTTGATTGTACAAAATCAATTAGTAACAGTCTATTAATTCTCCCACCATCTATGTATTTAAGGTTTGTTCCATCTGATGAGAAGAAAAAACAAGGCTGCCAGCGAGAAAATGAAACTTTAATACAAAGAAGGAAAGACCAGATGCAGCCTGGTGGAACTACAGTCAGTGTTACAGTGCCATATCGTGTGGTTGACCAGCCTCTAAAACTTATGCCTCAAGACTGGTAAGGAGGACAGTTTGTTGCTCTTGGTGTTGCCTTTAATAAGCCACAGTGGAATTCAGAGAAGCAAAAACAAAGAAAAAAATGAAAAACAGAACAAAAATGGTAAATACAGTAATGTTAGTACTCACTGCAAACTACCATTATAAATTTACAATATAGTTACATTGCATATGTTTTTATTACATGTATAAATCAGTGCAGGCCTTCCAGATATCTAGATAAATGACCTTGTGAAAAAGATGTTTGTATGATCAAATGACGCTAGTGCTAACAGAGTCTCTCAGCATTGTGTAGTAGATGGTGGATGTTTATTCTTCCAGACTTGGAATATAAGTTTCGTAGCCACCATAAGGACAGTTTCATTTTCCCTTTGTTAAACCCATAGAACAGGAATATAATTTTAAGAGAACAGAAATATCCAGAAATATCAAAGATTTCCCAAATAGTGCATTAATATAGGTTACAATTTCAGTCAAAAATAAATAGTTTACTGGACAAGCCCAGATCATATGTATCAAGGATACATTTCCAATTTTACATCTGTAACGTCTATCAGAATTTGACAACCACTTCCCAAACAATTCTTCAATTATCATTTAACCTCATGTCATAGTTACTGTTTTCACTTCATGATTTTTCTTTAAAGTATTTTACGTTTATACTATTTTTCAAGGTTAAGCTTTTTCAAAGCCTAAATCCATCTCTTTTCGTATCTGTGCCCCCCAAACAACCTTCAGGGGTGGTTCACAACCTTCTAGATCTGGTTTTAGGGGTGCTCAATGTTCTGCCAGTGGATGTCCAGTGCTAGCGGCAACTGGTGAGTGCAGTTTATGATTAAAACCATTCAGCAACATTATTCATCATCCCGTGTGAATTGAGATTATAAATGCAATCCAAGTTTCCAATTATTTGTGTTTGTTGTTACATTTGCAAACAGGTCCCTTATCTTCTAAGTACGTTAAGGCCTTAACAAAACTGGTGTACATATGGATATATTCAGGTTTCCTTGTGTTGTAGAGAAAACAGCTGAATTATAGCATTATCCTGAGTGAACTCGTATAGGAATTAAGATATGAATGTGTTCAGAAAAGCACCTTAGCTTTTCATCTCATTATGCTGTGAATGTTTTGTGTATGAGGGATTCAGTATTTGTGTCCCTTTCTGTTTTCTAGGGACCGTGTTGTGGCTGTGTTTGTACAGGGTCCTGCTTGGCAGTTCAAAGGCTGGCCATGGTTGCTACCTGATGGATCACCTGTTGATATTTTTGCAAAAAGTGAGCTTTTCCCCCACTTACAGATAATTTTCTGTTATGTGTTCACAGTAGAGTAAATTAATGTATTGTGCATATGGAAATAAAGCCTCTTCTGACACTAGCAAGTTAGACTAGTGGCTTAGAATGTTCAGTTGTTCAGAGCACTAAACAAATTGTAGCGCAGCCAGCATGACCAGTTACCAGTGATCTAACGAAGCCTAGAGGACCACAATTCCTCCTCCTATGGTTTAAGCCCCGTTCCTGATAACAGACTTTTCCCAGATGTGGCAACAGATGTCACTGTAACTTACTGAGTTTCCAGTCCTAAGGGGATAAATGTAAAAGTAAAGGTTCCCCCTGACATTTAGATCAATCGTGTCTCACTCTAGGGCACGGAGCATATCCCCATGTCCAAGCTGTAGAGCCAGCGTTTTTCTGTAGACAGTTTCCGTGGTCACGAGGCTAGCGCGACTAGACACAGAACGATGTTACCTTCCCACCGTGGTGGTACCTATTTATCTACTCACATTTACGTGCTTTCGAACTGCTAGGTTGGCAGGAGCTGGGACAAGCGATGGGAGATCACTCCGTTGTGTGGATTCAATATGACTGCTGGTCTTCTGACCTTGCAGCACAGAGGCTTCTGTGGTTCAACCCGCAGCACCACCACATCCCACTTATCCTAAGGGGATAGTACGCCAGAAAGTAACATATGAGTACTGAATCCCACATACCAATTTAATTAGCTAGTTCTTGAGCTGCAGGTACCTACTTGTTTGTGCAGTGTGTTATGTTAGGAGGTGTTCCTTTTGTGCATACAGGGGAACTAATCAGAAAACTACAGTTAACCACCACTGCTTGTGACATACAGACCAAGAATCATGATTCCAAACAAGCCAGAATTTGTAAGCGAACTTCAAGATGCAATTTAGAGCTGGTTTACAGAATCCTGGTTTGTTTGTGAACTGTTACCAGATACCTGATATACTTGTAATGGTTAATTAGTACCTTTATAGTTACTTTCCCTGCTTGTATGAATGAAGAGTAGAAGTGGATTGAAGAATGTTTGCTTATAGCTTATGCATTTCCTGAGTTATTTACTGCAGTTTTTAAATAACTCTCATAGCTAGTTAAACATAAATTCAATTCATCACTTTTAGCTGGGCTTCCCTGCCTTGCACATATCATTTGTTCCAAAAAAAAACACCACTTGTAGCAGCACAATCCATTAGAATGCCAGCCATGGCAAATCTCAACAAACTAGGAGGGAGAAGTAATTTAATGAAAATCATGAGCAAGTGGGTGAAGGCCCTTCTTTTCCCCAGCAGATTTTGTCTGGCCAGGCTTGGGAAGCTGGAAGTAACAAAAGAATGCAGCTGTGAAAAATTTGAGTTTGCAGGGAAAACACAGAGTCCATGTTGAGGTTCAGATTCCGCCATCACTACCCCTTCTTTATAGAAGTTCATCAACAACCCATTATAAGACCATTTAGTGCCATCTTCTCTTAAAATTTTTATACTGTTGCACTATTTCAGGCTGAACACTAAGTTTTAGGCATTAGAACATAAGTTGCATTTCCATCCTCTCCACCAAATGAATGACCTTATCTCTTTTTCAAGCTTCAGGCTTCCTGTTCAGTTTCACTGAGTTAAAATGAAATCTAGTATATTTATATTGATCTGTAATTTGTGACACCAAAGTGGGTAGTCTGGGTGGAGAGAGACTGAGTACAAGTAGAGAAGAATAGGAAGAAAACTCATTCAGTATTAAATGTAAAGTGGCCTACAACAGTGGTTTTCAATCTTGGGTCCCTAGATGTTCTTGGACTAAAACTCCCAGAAACCCATGTCAGCACAACCAGTAGTGAAAGTTTTTGGGAGTTGTAGTCCAAGAATACCTGGGGAAGGTTAGGAACCACTGGCCTACAATTTTAATAGTGCAGAGGGAGAAATCAGGTTATTTTCCTTTGTTGTCACGAATATAGATGAGCTACCTTTGTAGCAGGAAGGTCCAGGTTGGGAACACAAACCCAGAGGACGAGCAGAGGGCCTTGATTCTACATGTCTTATAAAATAATGGTAACTGTTGCTTAGTTGACTTGAACATTAATTGTATGGACTGAAGACACTACTAACACATATAGTGCTGTAGAAAGTTAATAAGGTCAGTTGCTTTCTCTCTTATCCTTAGTTTCCATTCTGCAGTATGAGAATAATACACTGACTTGCCTTGGTAAGATGGTCCAAGAGCAACATAATGTATATGAAATGTTCTGAATCCACAAAAATATTATATAAATTTTAAGCATTATTAATAGGCCCAAAATATGAAGGAGACAACACGGTGTAGTAGAAAAGTAAAAGAATGTAGTAAACTGTAAAAACATGAGAAATCACCAATCTCTTAGAGGTACATTATTTTACTCTTTGACATATATCTCAAGAAGAAATACAAGCTCAAGCTTACATTTGAAAGATGATAGTGTAGATAGTGTACCTTTACAGATCTTTGTTAGATGCTGAAAGAAGTATGTAGCTACTGGCCTTCAAAAATGAACAGACGTTAGTACAGGCAAGCCAGCTTCTACAGCAGTGAAGATTAAGAAAGATTTAAAGCTGGTTACTGTAGATTGAAATTTCTGAAAGGAAAAAAGCGGATTGCAATAAAATTCAAGAAGACATCTAAACATATCATGCAAATCCTGGATTAAACTCCATCTAGAGCACATCAGACTATCTCTCAGTATCTCACAATATCACTTTATGCTGGCTAAAATCCCATAAAGTCACTTGAACAAAGCTTAAAATAGTACTCTCTTTATCCTCTGTTTTTCCAATCTACAGCTCTTGACCTCCTGTGAAATAATTTGTTTATCTGTGGACTTTATGCCTGTGGCTTCTGTAGAGAATAATTTCTTTTATCCCTTCCTTTCAGAGATATCTGTAAGAAAGCAGGCACTTTCAATGGAAAGTTTGGAATTTTGGCATTTTAACCAACCTGAATATTTTATCCGAATGCCATTTTAAAGGTCTACTTGCAATTGCATGTTAATGCAAGTCTATTGAACTTGAAGGTCATTTTTAGTGAATTGATTCTTGTTCAATACTTTTTGCTCCTAACTCAAAGGATCTGTTTGACATTCATAGATTTCTTTGTAAATGCATACATCCTTGATAGATATACCTCTTGTGCTTCCTTTAAAAAGAAAAATTGGCTTAACATATTCAGAGATTAGTATTTTATTAGAAATGCTCTCGATGTCCTTGATACATACAGTTGATATACTCAACAGAAAGAAATCTTGTCAGTACAAAAAAGTTATAAATCAAAATTCTACCTGTGGGCAACTTACAGTACCTGTTGCCAGTCCTTTACAATCTATTTTTGTACTGTATACAAACCAAGGATCTCCAGTCTGTAGGTAATTGACAGCAACATACAGATTGATGGGTAACATTTGAGGAAGTACTCAGAGAAAGAGTTTTCAGATGAGCTAAGATGGGCAAGTCACCAAGGAGAAGTACAAACAAGTAGCCAGTATTTGTTGAGGTAAAACCAAAAACCCAGACTTGCAAGAGAGGTTAAAAACAAAAGAGGGGGATTTTCAAGTATGCTCCAAGCAATATGTGTGAAAACAAATAAAATTTAAGAAAGGAAAACTTACAAAAGCAATTGGGACAACTTTTTAATAGTAATATCGATTTGATAGTGGGATGAAGTGCCTTGGTAGGTGGTGAACTCCTTCCCTGGAAATTTTTTAAACAGCAGTTAAATTACAGCAGTTAAAAACAGCACTTTCAAGGAATATTTCTACTGTAGATTTCCTGCTTCCACAGGGTTGAATGTGATGGCACTCGGAGTCCTTTCAGCTCTCCTGCTTTCTTATTCTGTATGAATTGAATCTGTGTCTCCTTGTCTCCCTAAAAATTTTAGGGCATGCTTGATGTACTTTGAAAAGTAGACCTGAATGAAGATAAACTCTTACAACATGAAAAGCAACATGACAAACTGTCCTCTGATCTAAGATAATTGCACCATTCACCTCATTGTCAATCTGTTTAAGAAGCCCCAAAGTGTACTAGTGTAGTATTTTTCATTTTTATAACTTACTTGACCTCCGCAGCACTCGTGAAGCTAATGCCTTTAGCTTGAATAAAAATTTCCCTGCAACGACAAGGCTATGTATCCACACAATCACACAGAAGATAGAACAAATGTTGGCTTATTTTTTCCTAGTTGAAAGTGTTCAGATTTGCTGGTTGTGTGGCTGCATTTATCTGTATACTCTGAGGCATACATGCAGTTCCTTCCAAAGGTTTGAGGATAGTTTGCAAGAAGTTTCTCTTTCCCTCTCCCCCTGCACAGTCTTGTATAAGATCAATTGATCTGTCCAAGAGATCACCTAGTGATCTTAAAGTATGAGTGAGGACTTGAACCTGCATTTCCTCAGTCTATGATAAACACTTACCCTCTAGAACATGTCAGCTCTAGAGCCATGGGAGATGTGGAGATGTCAGTGAGCTCACAATTGGCTTCATGTGAAAATTCCTTTAACTTCAGATGATTTAACTTCTGTAATTTGTAGTGTATAAGAGGCTGCCTGTGTTGTCAACAGGCAAGGGGTCTTTTTTAAGAGGATTGGGAGTCTATATGCACACTAATAGGGGAAGACTAAAGAAGATTTAAGCAGCACACTTTTGCTCTTTTTTTCTGTTAGCAAGCGACAAACGTTTATCGCTTATGTTGTTCTACAACCAGCCTGCAATCAGTGTAATTCACTGATGCTTTCTGAGGAATTCCAGACAGCGTAAGAGGTGTCAGGACTAAAATATTTGTCATTTGTTAATAAAATATGTGGCCTTCATTCCATTAGTGTACTTAATTGCCTCCGAATCCTCTCTGAAAACAGTCGTGGCCTGTTAGCAACACTGTTCCCACAGTGATGGAAATCAGTTTGCCATCACAGCTATTGGGATAGCCAGGGATTTACCAGTTTAAATAGATGGATTCACTGCACCATACTGGCTTTCTGTCTCATGATATACACACACACTCCTGGAGCAACTGGGATTCACCATGTGAGGACTTTGTGTTTTCTTCTTCTTTTTTGTCTTGTCTATAATGCATTTGGATTTTAGGAGTTACAGTTTAATTGTTGCACCACTTCTCTCCACATTTTAGTTAAAGCTTTCCATCTTAAATACGATGAAGTTCGTCTAGATCCAAATGTCCAGAAATGGGATGTAACAGTGTTAGAACTCAGTTATCACAAGAGGCATTTGGACAGACCAGTGTTCCTACGTTTCTGGGAAACATTGGACAGGTAAATATCAAACTGGAAGGGAAAATTTACCTTTGTGTTTTTATTTGAGGTTCAAGAGCAGTTTGTTGAATCTTGTAAGCAAGACTCTGTAGCTTAAAGGTCCAGAAAATATTTTGCAATCAAAGTACTACTGGCTGCGCTGCATTTTTAGATATCTATGGAGCCAGAGGTTGGGAATTTGATTCCCCATTGTGTCTCCTGTTAGTAGAACCAGCCTGTGTGGCCATGGGCAAGCTGCACAGTGTATTTGTTTATATTATTGACTTGACTCCACATGATTACTATTATATTATTATGCACATTTATATTGGGGTGTTTTTTTAGATATTATTAGACATTTACAGAATGTCTTGCAAAATACATGGCATGGATGTTACTTTGGTCTAATCATAATAAACCTTTTATACCTCTTTTGGAAAACATGTCAAGCCTACCAAATTCTTTCAAATTTGGATTAACTCAAAAATCCTCTCTTCATCATCAGTCTGCTGAGCCAGTAAGATTATATCAGAGTTTCTTATCCATATCTCCCACCATCTGAAGTAAAGTGTATAGTGACCAGAGACAGCCTTTTCTGTTGTAGTATCTCGTTTATGTAGCTGTCATTGGAGATCTTACACAATTTCTTTTTTACTAACACATTTTATTTTTGTGTTTATTTTATGCTGAATTTTTAGTGACCTGTTAAATCTGCCATCTCATAGTTCAATTTGTAAACTACTATGGTTGTTTAAGAATTCCTGATACATTCTAAATAAATAAATGCCCCATTAGAACTGCTACTGCAATTCATGCTATCTTCCCTCTTCTGAAGTTGAGTTTATACTCTGCTTATTCACTAAAAGATAGCACTCCAGGCTGTCTTGATTGCAAAGACTTTTGAACTTTTTCTCACACTGAACGTTTTACATTTAAAAAGTATTTGATTAAAAATTCTCTGGCAGGTTTAATTGATATAGCACTCCAGGCTGTCGTGATTGCAAAGACTTTTGAACTTTTTCTCACGCTGAACGTTTTACATTTAAAAACTATTTGATTAAAAATTCTCTGGCAGGTTTAATTGATATATCGTTGGTAGGCAATCTGTGGAGGACAAAATCAAACAACAGTATTTAGTTGCAGATGCAATGAAGATCTTCTTGATCTTGCCATTTTCTTTGCATGAGTTCTGCCCTCCTTGACTGTTAATGTCATTGCCCATGTGAAGATGTGTGCCCTAATGTGTAACACAAGATATTACAATAATGATTTATTCCTTTACATTACAGGTATATGGTAAAGCACAAATCCCACTTGAGATTCTGAATTCTTGACTTCCATTCTGTTTTCATAAACCTTGGATCGAGGACTTTGAAACCTACTCCGGTCTAGAGAGGAAAATTCTGCCTGTCTACATTTTTCAAGAACATTATACAGATAACGAAGGGAGTCATTGTTTACAGCGTAAGAGGTGTCAGGACTAAAATATTTGTCATTTGTTAATAAAATATGTGGCCTTCATTCCATTAGTGTACTTAATTGCCTCCGAATCCTCTCTGAAAACAGTCGTGGCCTGTTAGCAACACTGTTCCCACAGTGATGGAAATCAGTTTGCCATCACAGCTATTGGGATAGCCAGGGATTTACCAGTTTAAATAGATGGATTCACTGCACCATACTGGCTTTCTGTCTCATGATATACACACACACTCCTGGAGCAACTGGGATTCACCATGTGAGGACTTTGTGTTTTCTTCTTCTTTTTTATCTTGTCTATAATGCATTTGGATTTTAGGAGTTACAGTTTAATTGTTGCACCACTTCTCTCCACATTTTAGTTAAAGCTTTCCATCTTAAATACGATGAAGTTCGTCTAGATCCAAATGTCCAGAAATGGGATGTAACAGTGTTAGAACTCAGTTATCACAAGAGGCATTTGGACAGACCAGTGTTCCTACGTTTCTGGGAAACATTGGACAGGTAAATATCAAACTGGAAGGGAAAATTTACCTTTGTGTTTTTATTTGAGGTTCAAGAGCAGTTTGTTGAATCTTGTAAGCAAGACTCTGTAGCTTAAAGGTCCAGAAAATATTTTGCAATCAAAGTACTACTGGCTGCGCTGCATTTTTAGATATCTATGGAGCCAGAGGTTGGGAATTTGATTCCCCATTGTGTCTCCTGTTAGTAGAACCAGCCTGTGTGGCCATGGGCAAGCTGCACAGTGTATTTGTTTATATTATTGACTTGACTCCACATGATTACTATTATATTATTATGCACATTTATATTGGGGTGTTTTTTTAGATATTATTAGAGATTTACAGAATGTCTTGCAAAATACATGGCATGGATGTTACTTTGGTCTAATCATCATAAACCTTTTATACCTCTTTTGGAAAACATGTCAAGCCTACCAAATTCTTTCAAATTTGGATTAACTCAAAAATCCTCTCTTCATCATCAGTCTGCTGAGCCAGTAAGATTATATCAGAGTTTCTTATCCATATCTCCCACCATCTGAAGTAAAGTGTATAGTGACCAGAGACAGCCTTTTCTGTTGTAGTATCTCGTTTATGTAGCTGTCATTGGAGATCTTACACAATTTCTTTTTTACTAACACATTTTATTTTTGTGTTTATTTTATGCTGAATTTTTAGTGACCTGTTAAATCTGCCATCTCATAGTTCAATTTGTAAACTACTATGGTTGTTTAAGAATTCCTGATACATTCTAAATAAATAAATGCCCCATTAGAACTGCTACTGCAATTCATGCTATCTTCCCTCTTCTGAAGTTGAGTTTATACTCTGCTTATTCACTAAAAGATAGCACTCCAGGCTGTCTTGATTGCAAAGACTTTTGAACTTTTTCTCACACTGAACGTTTTACATTTAAAAAGTATTTGATTAAAAATTCTCTGGCAGGTTTAATTGATATATCGTTGGTAGGCAATCTGTGGAGGACAAAATCAAACAACAGTATTTAGTTGCAGATGCAATGAAGATCTTCTTGATCTTGCCATTTTCTTTGCATGAGTTCTGCCCTCCTTGACTGTTAATGTCATTGCCCATGTGAAGATGTGTGCCCTAATGTGTAACACAAGATATTACAATAATGATTTATTCCTTTACATTACAGGTATATGGTAAAGCACAAATCCCACTTGAGATTCTGAATTCTTGACTTCCATTCTGTTTTCATAAACCTTGGATCGAGGACTTTGAAACCTACTCCGGTCTAGAGAGGAAAATTCTGCCTGTCTACATTTTTCAAGAACATTATACAGATAACGAAGGGAGTCATTGTTTAATCTTTTACTAAATCTTGTGGGATTACCATGTTGCAGTGACTGACCTGGCGAGTAGTCATTCTTACAAGCGAGGAATTTTGCTTAAAACTATTTTTAAGAGCATAAACCTAGCCTGCAATTCAAATTGTATATTTTGATAGCAGCCATTTCCCCCCATTTTGTTAAATTAGAAATGTTTTTACAATAACTTTTTTGTTCTTCAATAGAATATAGGTTGATTTTCCTGGAAGGTTATGAACGTGTGTGTGTATGTGTGTGTGTAGAGAGAGAGAGATAGATGTTCTAAACCACTTCACTTTTGAATATAGTTCTTGGTTCTTTGCTTTACTGTTTCACTTGTGAAAAACCTTTTGTTTCAGTTGGTATTATCTTTTAGTCTAAAGAACTCTAGGAACTGAGCAAAGTGAAGACTGCTTTAGATAAATCAAATTGTCAGCCTGTATATGTACTGTATATTCTTTCAGTCTTTGGAAAAGGGATGGAAATAATATGCAAAATTGTTTCTTTTGTTATGATGATAGTTTACCAAAACTGTAAAAAGAATCATTATGAATACATTTGAATTATAACATTCTTCATGGAAAGTGTTTGATTTTAAATTGTGTGTGCATATGTCCCCACATTGAAGTTTGTATACACAAAAATATAACAGACATTTGGGGCATTAAGGATTTTGTAAAATTAGAATTGGCAGAATGCAGTCATGGAAAACAGTTCTTCTTTTCCCAGTAGACTTTAGATCATTGCATTCTTTGATGTGTTCTTACATTACCTTGGCAGTCTGGGAACCAAAGCTGTCCATAGAGAGGAGCTCATCCTCCTCACTTTTCCTACACTTCAGGTCACCCTTAATTCAGATTTACAAGTTTAAAGCTGGTGCAGTGCTCTCTCTGTGGGTAACGTGGGAGGGGGTCTTATTGAATACTGCCAAGATAAGATAGGAACCCAGTCTCAGTGATATAGGAAACTGAAATGCATTCAGGTTCCTATTATAGCTAGTTAGGTCAATTTTTCTGCATTCCCTTGAGATACAAACTTTTTGGTAACCAAAGAACATGTTTATTTTATTGAGAATTATAATTAGAGATGGGGACGAATAAAAAAATGGCAATTTGTTTTGATCATCAAGGTTAATGGCTCAACGAATACAAATATACGAATACTCTTCAACGAATCGATGAATCAATCTGTCAATTTGTCTGCACTTTAAATGGCTATAACACTGGCCCCCAATGACCTAGAGACACCAAATTTGCAGGGAAGCTTCCTCCGATGTTTTTCTACAACTTCTGAAAGGTTGGTGAATATTGGATCATGGACCTCCAAGTTATAAAGTCACAAAGAGGACTCCCAGGAAATCTCCCCCCAGGTACTTAGAGACTCCAGAATCACAACAGAACTTCCTATGTCTTTCTCCAACATGCCTGCCAATTTTGGTGAAGATTGGATATCGGAACTCCTAGTTCTTCTTCGTGGCCTCTTTAAATGCACACTAATGGGTTAACTCTGCACATGTGCGGAGGCCTCAGAAAATTCTGGGGCTGAGAAAAAATGCACTTGACCTCCCCCCAGAGCCCACATGGTCCGCCTGTCCTAGCGGTTACCTTAGTTCCTTTCTTTCCGCTGTGTTGAGAGGTCTCTTCAGAGCTTCGTGCAGGACCTTTGGGATTTCTTCGCTATAAGAGATAAGATTAAGAGACCAGTCAGTTCTTGTTCCCCCTCAATGCCCTTTCCCTGTTGTTTATGGCCCCTAAGGTTTCCTTTAAGAGTTGCATGTCCTGTCACAAAAAGATCCCCACTACTGACGGACACAAGCTGTGCTCGGGCGAATCACATCAGCCCCAGTCTTGCCCTCACTGCAAAACTTTTACGAGACAAGCACTCAAGTTCAGAGAACAACATTTGCGGGCTTCTCTGTGGCAAAAATCCCTTGAGCCCCCGGAAATGGAGTCTGCCTCGCCTCCCTCAAGACCTTTAGCATCGTCCATGGCGTCTCCTCTGTCCACTCAGCCTAAATCGTCCAAACCTAAGACGGCCGTAGCTTCTGGGGGATCTAAGCCCAAGTCTAAAACTTCGGCCACAAAACAAGGTCTCCCCCATGGCAACAGACTGCAACTCAGTGTCCTCCTGAGACTGGCTCTGGAGACATCACCATTATTTCTACTATTCGTGGGGAGCCCTCTTTGCTTCTTGCCGCGTCTTTGGCGGATGCTGAACCAGACATTCTATCTCCGGCTTCATCTTTACCAGCTAGCCCTATTTCTCAGCCTGATTTAATGCCATCCACAGGTTCAGGGTCCCCGTGTCTGTAGGATCCGCCCACAGTTAAGAAGTCAAAAACTAAACACATTGACATGCCAGTTCAGGGAGATTCCCAGTTTTCAGATAAATCAAGGCTGAAGGTCTCCAAACGCTCTCGATCCCGGGAGCATGTCCAAGCGCTCTAAAAGCCTAAAATCTTCAAAGGCTTACAGACTGAAACAGTACTGTCAATGGAAGAAGGAAATGAAGTGTCTCTGTGACCCACTGATGTTTTTCGGGTTCGACTCCTCGTCGGTATCGTCTGTCGATACTGATTGCTCTTCGGCAGAGTCATCTTAGTCTGAGGATTCCTCCGGTACCGTGAAGCGCAAGAGGCATAGTCGTCACCATACCGTGGCGGTACCTAAAAATAAAAGCAAAACGGACCACTTGGTACCGACTAAGGATCGCAACAACAAATCTCGAAATACGGTACTGTCAGCTAAGATCTCGGTACCTATAGACAGTATCATCGGTACTGGGCTCAGTACCAAGCGTTGTAAAAGGTCTCCATCACTGAATCAGCCTTCCACAAAAATGCCTAAGCGTGGCAGACACCGCGTGAGCCCTGCCGATTTTTCATCCGTTTCTGACTATGGCATCTGACTATGAAAATTCAGAATCTGACCTACCTGTGGAGTCACCTCCTAATGGGAACCCTACCCCCCCCAGCTGCTGACTTTGCTTCCTATTCCAATCTCATTCAGCGCATAGCTACTGCTCTGGATCTGGCAGTTCAAGGGGCATAGCTGTATATCCCTATATAAACGACTGGCTTTTGGTGGCTCACAAAGAAGAAGTGCTTTGTCCAGAAACACCACTCTGTTACTACTTCAAACTCTCAGACTGCAAGTCAGTTATGAAAAGTCCATGCTGACTCCATCTCAACTTGTGTCCTACATCGGCGCAGTTCTGGATGCCACAGAAGCACGAGCATTTCTCCCACCCGAGTGTGCCCTCAAGATCCAGTCTTTGATGTCACACTTCCGGCCTCTGAGCATGGTCACAGCTCATCGTTCTCAGAAGTTGTTAGGACTGATGGCATCCACCACGTCTGTCCTCCCTCTTGCCAGACTCAAGATGAGGTCCCTCCAGGTGTGGTTCCTCTCGCTCTTCTACCCCCTGGAGGATCCTCCCAACTCCCGGTTGTTAGTCTCCCCAGAACTCACGCAACAGCTTCTTTGGTGGGTAGACCCCAGCAACCTCATCATGGGTCGACCCTTTGCGCCACTTTGACTTACGGCTCGTCTCACCACCGATGCCAGTCCTTTGGGCTGGGAAGCTCATTGCGAAGGATCCCACATCCATGCTCTGTGGTCCACAAGGGAGAGAAGAATGCACATCAACAACTTAAGAGTTACTAGCAGTGTTCAAGGTTTGTCGCGCTTTTCTCCCAGTCATCTCCGGCAAAGCCGTTCAGAGAGTTACCAACAATATGACAACAATGTTCTATATAAACAAGGAGGGAGCCACTCTCTTCCTCTCCTATATCTCACCAATCAGCTCTGGGAGTGGTGTCTGGCTCACCATATCTTTCCTTCAGCGATACATATATCGACTCACGACAATGTTGTAGTGGACGATCTCAGCAGAATGACAACCAACATGCACGAATGGTCTCTCGAGCACATGGTTTTCTTACAACTGTGCAACCAAACAAAACAGCAAGTGTGTGATGTATTTCTCCAGAGTGGGCATTGGCGTGGGATCCCAGGGTGTTGCTCTCATGGAGCCCTGGAACCACGGACTCTTGTACATGTTTCCACCGATCCCTCTAGTGTCACACACTTGTCAAGATACAGCAGGACAACGCCGATGCGATTCTTGTAGCTCCTTTGTGGCCACGACAACCGTGGTTCACCATGCTGACGTCTTTGGCTGTCGACTCTGTGAAGCTGCCAATCATTCCACACCTTCTTACCCAGAACAACACAAGCATTTACCACCCAGATGTGCCATCTCTTCATCTCAGCAGCTGGAGAATAGTACATCAGTAGACTATTCTCTCTCATTCATGGAAGCCTTCGACCAAAGCTACCTGTGCTGACAAATGGCAGGTGTTCAAAAATATACTGATCTACATGGTCTTCCCCTTTCACTGACCTCTATGGATGCGGTCCTGCAATTTTCACACCTTTTTGACAGTCACTTAACTCTGTCCACTATCAAGGTGTACCTGTTGGCCATAATTGCACACCAGCCACCTGACTCTGACACTACCCATCTGTTCTGCCATCCTAAGATGAAAAGGTTCCTGCATGGGATAGCAAATCTTAATCCATCTCGTCTACCGCCAACCCCACAGTGGTCCCTCCATACCATTCTGAATCGGCTAACATGTCCTCTGTTTGAGCCTCTAGCCTCTGCATCTGAACAGCTCCTTTCCTATAAGATAGCAATCTTGGTCACCATTACTTCAGCTTAGAGAGCATCTGAACTTTCAGTGCTTCGCATTGATCCCCCTTTTCTTCAGTTCCATCCAGACAAGGTGACCCTTCACCCGGACGTGTGTTTCCTCTCCAAGGTATCCTCTGATTTCCATCTCAATCAGCCTATCATCCTTCCGACCTTTTTTCCACACCCTGCGACTCCTGTTGAGCAGTTTCTGCACCTTTTAGATGTTCGGAGGGCACTCCCTTTATATCCATCGGACCACTGCCTTCCGACAATCCAATAATCTTTTCATCTCTACCCATCCAACTCATAGAGCATATCATGTATCCTCGCAGACGATCTCCAGATGGGTGGTCAGCACTATCCGCATGGCATACAACCTCACTCACAAGCCCTTGCCTGGATCAATCGGGGCTCATTCTACTCGAGCTATGTCAACCTCCACGGCTTTCCTTAGAGGCGTCCCTATTCAGGACATCTGCAAGGCTGCTATATGGGCTACTCCTTCTTCTACCTTTGCCTCGCACTACAGGCTTGACGTCCGGGCTAAGGAGGAGACCAGATTTGGATGTGCGGTCTTATCATCCATGCTGCCATGACGTTCCTCCACCTATAGTCAAGGTAAGCTTGTTATTCACCCATTAGTGTGCATTCACAGAGGCCACAAAGAAGAAAAAGAAGTTACTTACCTGTAACTCTAGTTCTTCAAGTGGTCCTCTGTGAAGTCACACTTTCTGCCCATCCTCCCCTCTTCCATCATGTCAGCCTCCTCTTTGAGGCGTAGCAGAATTGAGGAACTAAGGTAACCGCGAGGACGGGCGGACCACGTGGGCTCCGGGGGGAGTCCTAGAGCATTTTTTCTCAGCTGCAGAATCTTCTGAGGCCTCTCCGCATGCACAGAGTTAACCCATTAGTGTGAATTCACAGAGGACCACTCAAAGAACTAGAGTTGCAGGTAAGTAACCTCTTTTTATTCACCCACGAATTGGGTCCCCCCAGGAGAGTTTACCACACAGCACAGAAGCCCATGGCATTGAGAGAGTTATATTTAGCCCCAGCAGAATGAGAGGTCCCTTTGGCAGAGGCATGCATGAGGCATTGAGTTTGTCTTCAGCTCAGCACATTACATTTGCCAGTGAAGTAGAGTTTGCCCTCGGGAGGACTGGAGGTGAGGTATTTGGTAGCATGGCAGGCTTTTTTGGCTCCATTGGGCACTGAGGACAAACAGCAGGAAAGCGGGCTTTTTTGGCTGTATCCAGTACTGAGGCAGCAGCAAAGTACTGTGTCTTGCCCCATCGGGGCACTGAGGCAAAAGGCAACAGAGCAGCCTCTGTTCTCTTCAGGAACATCAGATTTGCCTGCAAAGGAAAGGTTTTTGCCCCAAGGAGGCAACTGAGGTTGCTTGCAACTTCCAACAGC